TTTGTTTTAGGCAATTTTTTAGCTGCTCAGAGTCTGGGAAGCATGCTGATTATAAGGTTATTGATTTGGAGGAAGAGGCAGAAGACGAGGGGCAGGAAAGGGAGGCCAGATGGAGAACATGTCAGTTTGTGAGCAGCTGGGAGGGAGGGATGGCCGTGGCTGCCACCGGAGCTCAAGCAGGTCAGCCTTCGTGATCAAACTGCTCAATAGCTATTGATCAGCCACGGTCCCTGGCCCCCGTGCAGGGTTGGATTCAAGGGAGCACTGCATCATCACTGTGAGTAATTAGGGCTAATGCAGTAAAGGCTTCAATAAAGTTTGTTCAGAGTGATGCATAATTTGAAATAACTTCTCCTGTGCTGTCCCAATCGTGATTTAATAACCATATCAGATAATCCATACTGAAATACGTCCACCTAGTTTTTCTGCACTCCTACATACTGAGCTATGTATGACATGGAGGTCATGCAACATGGAGAGAGTTGGTGATTTCACTACTGAAACGTCGCCCCACCTTTGTGTTTCTGATGAGACTACATTAGTAAATAGATGAAAAATACTGTAGGAACTCAGTAAAACGCCAGGAAAACAAAATCTCCACAGTCCTGCACCTGAAAGTCTAGTTGGAATACACAGACACACCCCCCCACACTATCCTTTCATCTTAAATCTCCAAGCGTAAAAAAAGACCTGTATCAGGGTTGCTGTCACTGCTCCAATCTCAGCAGCTCAAGGTGTGGCCCAGGGGAGAGAACGGCGGGAGGCAAGTGGACACCGTTCGTGGTTTCTATCTGTTTCGTATAGGTGTTTTATTCTCTAAAACTGTATGATCGGCCTTGTTTCAAACTACCAGAGCCTATGAGTAAGTGGAAATATTGGGTGGAAGGATGGGTAAAGTAGGGGAGGGGGAATGAAGGAGGGCACCTGCCGTGATGAGCCCTGGGTGTTGTAGGAAGTGTTGAATTGTTCAATTGTACACCTGAAACTCCTGTTACACTGTATGTTAACTAACAGGGATTTAAATAAGAACTTTAAAAAATGATAATAATTAAGATAGTAAAGTACAAAATGAAAGACAAAAAAATAAATAAATTTCACAAGTATATTAATTGCTTAGACATTTTGCTTCTGAAGGCAGAAACTGGTCTGGCAAATCATTTAATAATTAACCAAACTGTCAGCGCCATGGAAACTGACATATACGTGTAATCAAGATGCAAAACCTTAAGCTCGAAAAATTACCTTCAAAAATAAAA